GCCCAGCTGTGTCCCCAGCCCACCTGTCCTCACCCCTCAGGAGCTCTCTGCGTAGGACAGGCTCTGGCTCCCACGTGGCAGCCCGAGTCGGGGCCCATTCCCCATGTGTTAAACTGTTCAGAGCGCGCTGCTGGCTGCCGTTCTCAGTTCTCAGTGAGTGGCTGGGAGGTGAGCACAGGAACATGCGTTTTTCAGGGTTTCCCAAGGGGATTCTCAGGACAGGTCCAGACCATGGGCCAGGGCTTCTGTGCTTGGCCAGGCTCTGGCCCTTCCCCGGAAACCTTGAATCTGGCCCTTACTAAGGGGTGCCTAGAGAGTCACTTATTTTTTCCCCAAGTTTTCTTGGACAGTGAGATTGCACCAATTAGAACCCTAGAGAACTGATCCAAGGCACCCCAAAGTGGGGCCTTAACGTACCAGTGAGCTTCCTAAAGGCCCGCCCGCCCGCATCTGCGGGGTTGTACTTCTGTGCGCAGGGCCTGGGATCTGCGTTTCCCGAAACAACAGTGTTTGACAGGCCGGCAGGCCTGCTGTCACTAGATGTCCCGCATTCCAGATGTGTGTTTCCTCGTGGTGTCGTTTGACCAGTTTCCCTATCCCTGTATCCTCAGGGGTAATTCCGCCTAGAGAGTTCTTTAGGTGAGGCCACTGAGTCCAGTGCCCTCCATATCTCTGAAAGATGAGGGAAACTGAGGACCAAAGGTGTTAAGACACTTCCCCAGTCACGGCACACATCAAGGCAGAAATGGCCCTTGCCTGGGAGCCCTCTCCCCAGCGTTCCTGACAGTCCAGTGAGGCCAGGTCTCCTGGTCACCTTAGAGCCCCCAGTGGCGGCCCTGTCACGGGCCTCTGCCGTGCCTGCAAAGGCTCTGTGCAGTGGAGATATCTGGCTTGGCCAACACTGCACACGTGTGTGTGTGTGTGTACACGCCTTGTGTGTTAGGCAGGCTTTGGCCATGTATACAAACACCTCAACCTCCACCTTCCCTCGCAGGCTTTGCAAAAAGGTCAGAGACAGACAGGACCAGTGCGTACAAACAGAACCCCACTTTATTAGCAGTTAGTTCGAGATTGTACATTAATGGAGGAAGATTCCTACTTTTAACACAACCCAAAACGGCTGGTTCAAGAGCTTATCAGGTGAGCCGGGTGGCACCTCCTCTCCAGCCTCACCCCACCCACCAGGGAAGGAGCTCCTCTTGCTCCCCTGTCCCCCACCCGTCCAGTCAGCCCTCTCCTCTCCCCAGGAAGCCACATGAATTTCATGCACAAATTACAAAAGGAGCCCTCTTGCTGGTACGAAAAGCTAGCTCAGCCACGGAAGCCCTCTCCACCCTCCTCCTCCAGAGGCGGGTAGCAGGAAGGATGAACTGCTTGGATCAAAACTCAGCTGCAGTCTCCACCTCACCCTTGGCAGGGCTGCACACAAAGCCCATGCCTGTCTCCGGAGGGAGCTAAAAACTGCGAGCCCCCTGAGCTGGTGAGGTGTCCAGCCCAGAGCTGGCCAAGTGGGAACCCAGTATCGCCAGGAAGGCCTGGGGGTAGGCCTGGACCCCCACGCTCACCTCAATAGGGCAGAGCTGCTTCCTGCCAGGATGTTTTCAAACCCCTGCTCTAGACCCCGCCTGCTCCTTCTACAGGTGGGGAAACTGAGGCCCTGGGAGGAAGACTGTCATGCAGCCAGAGGTACCCAGGTGGGACAAAAATTCACAGTTCCTGCCTCTGGCCCAGTGCTCTTCTCCTGACACCACAGCTGGGGGAGGCATTTCCCCAGCTGGCCCTTCGTGCCACAAGCCAGAGGCCCGGCTCCACTCCAGTGCACAGACACCGCAGGCCTTCACGAAAGGAAACCCCAGAACCACAAGACGGGGATGCTGGGTCCCACACCCTGTAGACTGTGCCCAGGGTCAGAGATCTCATTCTGATGGACCCAGTGCCTGGCCCTCTGTCTGTCTCCCTTCTGTGGTGCCCTCCTCCCTTCCACGCAGGCCCAAAGTGATGATGCCTCTCCCTGTCCCCTCCCCTGAGCTCCTACAGGTGACAGTGGAGGTGTCACTCAGGCGGGAGGGAGCTGCCTAATCTGTGTGGTTGGCAAAATTACCTTTGAGAATACAGGGATAAAGAAACCGGTCAAACAATAACGACCCCAGGAGGAAACAGACATCTGGAATGTGGGACGTCTAAGTACAGCAGGCCTGCTGGCCTCACAAACGTTGTCTTTTTAAAATCAGATGGGCAGTGAAGAGTTTTTATCATTTAGGGAGATTTTTAAAACAGTTACAAAATGCGAAGTGCGCACCTTGGTTGAATCCAATTCCAAACCCAGGTGAGTTACTGGGGGGCAGCAGATGCCACCAGGAAACCCCTGTCATTCATCTGAGCCCTGGCTCAGGCCCCACTTTAGGCGAGAAGGCAGAAGTGCCTAAGGGGAGGTCTCAAGATGTCTGCAATATACTTTTAAACTAGGTCAGAAAAACATTCACACACAGAGAAAATACAAATACGGCAGAACCCTAGTGACGTTCCGGTCTGGATGCTGGGCAGCGGGCATCTGTAATTGAACGCCTGCTAAGATGTTTCTGGAGCTGCCCCTCCTGCCAACACTGCTGTTGGGGCCACCAATCCCCGCAGGTCCGGGTGCCTTGCTGGAAGCCGGTGGCCCCTCCTCAGCGGGACCCATCCTGAGTAACTGAGGCAGCAGTAGGTGGCTCCCCCTGCCCGGCACCCACCCTGCGGGCAGAAAAGGATACAGGGGACACAGGGTGGAGGTGGTGTCACCTGCACAAGGTAAGTCCTTTCTTTTTGGTCAAATGCTGATGGATTCGGTGGATGAGGAAGACTGACAGTGCCGCCCTGTGTACTCTGGCTTCCTACGTGAGCCCGGGACCTCACAGGGGTCTCTGGGGCCATTAGCTGAGAGCCCCCAGGACAGCAGAGCCCCCTCTGCTCACCCCCATGCAGCAAGTCCTGTCTGTGTCTAGGCCCAGGAGAAAAGTGGGAAGGGACATAGCAACAATGACTCCGTGGACAGAACAGGCAGCAGATCAAGTCCTGAGACCCCCAGAGGAGTCTGGGCCCAAATCCAGGCTCTCTCCTTGGTGCTTGCGGGGTCTCTACCCTGCCTGTGGCCACCTGAGCCTGGGGGCAGAGGGAACGGAGCTGCCAGCTTTGTTTGACAGCAAACAGTCCCCACCAGCAGGCGGGCAGGGAAGCTCTGGGCCTGCACCACGGAGTCCTGCTCACTCTGGGAGCTGTCCTTGTGAGCAGTGGAGGACAGGAAGTGGCCCTGTCCTCAAGCACTAGGCCCTCGGCCAGGACTCACAAGCTTGAAGGCCCCAGGGGAAATTGCCCTCCGTATGCACTGCAACACTGGTTGCACGACCTTCCACCTCCTTCTCCAGCCCAGTGGGAATGTGAGGAGAGGGAACCAGCTGGGAGCACAGGCTGGGGAAGGCCTCCCACCCTGGGGAGGACCAGAGAAGCAAATGCACACTGGGAGTGAGAAGACTCAAAGGCACCTGGCTGGGAAGAGTGGTTTGTCCCCATGTCCTGGAAAGACCACAGCTGTGACTGAGGGAGGGACTGCAGCCTGGCAGAGCAAGGTCCCACAGCGGGCTCAGAGGCAGTGTGGTGTTGGAAGAAGAGCACTGGACTCAGAATCGGAGGCCCTGAGTTCAAGTCTCAGCCCTGCTGCCCACCAGAGGTGACCTCGGCCGAGCAGGCCCCCTTCCGCCGGACCTGCTTTGAATCTGTTGAAGGACCCGTCCAACCCAAGATGCCAGAGTCTCTGGAATAAGAAAGGCTCCCGAGGAAGAACTTCCCGGGTGGGCAAAGGTGGGAGCTGAATCGGCAGTTGAGGGGGGATGGGAGGCACCCCAGCCTCAGACTTCACATTGTCAAATGGGGGCAGGAGCAAAAACAAAGCAGGAGCGAGTTGAGAGGTCCCAGGTCTGCAAAGGTCCGGAGACAGCTCTATGGGTCCCGGGGCCCCCCACTCCTGGGGCAGCCCCCAACCTAGCACCATGTGAGGGGAGAGGGACAGGCCGGCTGGACCAGGGCTCCCACCCGAGCCCCAGCTACTTCCTTTGGCCCAATTCCCCCAGGCCACTGGGCCCGTGAAGCCAGTCTCCCCGGAGGGAGCTGGTCCACCCTGCCTGTGTCACTGCCCGTTTCCCTGGGGTGGCCCCAAGACAGCGGCACTTGAGAGGGAACAGAGGCCTCTCCCTGGGCACAGCCACACTATCTCCAGGAGGCCCAGACAGGCCGAAGGCACAGCCTCCTTCCCACAGCTCACTCTCTAGCACTCAGATATGACACCTTGATACGGGGGCTTACCACCATTGTATAAGACTGAATTAAAAACAAACCCAACCAAAAAATAGAATATATATATATACACATTATATATACATATATATACATATCAATGTATGTATATATATGTAACACAGTGCGACCCCAGCACTCAGGGTTGGAACTCTGGCACCAAGAAAAAAAAAACAAAATATTAAAATACTTTAGCTTCTTAGTATTTGAAAGGTTAGGGGGTCTCTGGGAAGCCTCGGCCACAGGTCCAGTCGGCCGAGCAGCAGGCGGCAGCCTCAGCAGCTCCGGCGTGTCTGCCGCCAAGGCGGTGGGTAGGGTGATGGGTGCACATGGGGCTGCGTGTACTGCAGACTCCTGACCCACCTCAGCTCTTTACCACAGGAAATGCCACAGGGACCAAGGCCTGAGTGCACCTGAATGGCATGGCAGTGCCCCGAGCCTTGGAAGAGGCCTCGAGGACTGGGTGGGAACTGCTGGGATCAGAGATTTGTTTTTCCCAGGAGGGAAGGTGAGATGGGAAAGTATTAAGCCAAACATGGAGGTGCAGCGTTCTCTCAAGATGGCCACCCTCACATCCACCCAAGAACCACTCCTGGCACCCAGCTGACCCCTGTGAAGGCCTTGGCTCAAAACACTCAGGGAAATGTCCAGTCTTTCCCTGGTTTGTTGGTGCAGCGTTCTCTCAAGATGGCCACCCTCACATCCACCCAAGAACCACTCCTGGCACCCAGCTGACCCCTGTGAAGGCCTTGGCTCAAAACACTCAGGGAAATGTCCAGTCTTTCTCCCTGGTTTGGCAAAAGACCCAGCTGGGCTCTTCTCCCTTACTGTCTGGAGGACAGGGAAAATATGGCAGCTAATACTGAGGGGACACCCTGCTGGAGCAGGGACAGGGATGAAAAAGAGGGGGTGGTTGGTAGAACACAGTGAGGGACAGGAGAGAGTCTCGTGAACTCCCTCCCACCAAGAAGTGGCCTTCCACCATCGGGAAGTGGCCTTCTCCGGGGAGGTTGTGAACAGAATGGACCTCTGGTGCTGGGAGATCCAGTAGGCCACAGACCCAGCAGTGGAGGCTCTGAGGCGCTTGTGGACCTGCCTCACTTCTCCCGGCCCTGCGTGGGCTTCGGCAGGGTATTGCTCGTAAGTGCCTGGCCAGCCCGGCTCGCTCCCTCTCCGCAGGTTCGTCCGGCCCGGCTGTCACAGGTGTTCAGTCTGGCAGTGGTGGCCATGGCTACCTGGTGCTCTGGAGGTCCTCCCGCAGCCAGGTGGGCAACGTCTGGCCCATCTTGTACAGCAGCTTAGAAAGCTCAACGTTGTGGTCCCGGTAGTAGTCCTTCAAGAAGGCTCGGGACTGCAGAGGGAGAAGGCCGTGTGAGGAGACAGGAGGCCCCGCTGCTGGCCCCTCTAACACAGCCACTCTGCTGGCACCGCACCACACACTGCTTATTCATTCAGAATCCCCGCCTAGACTGTAGCCTCCAAAGAAAATGCCTGGATAGCGGAGCACTAAGGTAGCTCATAGTCAAAACTCTTCTGACAGAGAGAGAGGTGCATTCATCAAAACTAGAGGCAAGCCAGGCGTGGCAGTGAACACTTGTGATCCCAGCATTCAGGAGGCTGAGGAGGCAGGGGGACTGCTGTGAGTTTGAGGCCTGCCTGAGCTATATAGTGAGCTCGAGGCCAGACTAAACTACATAGCAAGACCTTGTGTAAAAAGAAAGAGGCAAACAGGATCAGGAAACATAAGATGCCATCTATGACTCCCAGCCTGCTTTGCACAGGCTGTCCTCTAAGAACGGCCTGACCTTCCTTCCCATGGGTCTGCATCCTGACTCCAGAGACCCTGCCTCGCCCCGAGAAGCTTCTTCACCCCTCCAGCCTCTGCGGCCACCTTGAGACTCGCGCCCTCTTGCTGCACCAGGCTTGCCTGTGCTCGCCCCTGCCTCGCCCTCAGACCCCACAGCACAGCCCTCCATGAAGGACAGGGATGGTGGGCACCGGTCTGCTCTGTCCCCAGGCAGGGGCCCCTCCCACTTATCCAGCTGCCGCGGGTACTGCACCCCACCACTTACATCCAGGTCCATCTCTGGGTATTTCCGGCCCTTGCTTTTGCCCAGACACTTGGTTTTTCCTCCTTCGAGCAGCTGGCACCAAAATCCTTTCTTTGGATCAAACCTGTGGCAGTGGGGGACACCTGCGGGTGAGAGCCAGCCCCTCCCAGACGCCCTCCACGAAGGCCACGTCCAGGAGCGGCAGCACCCAGGGGCTCGGGAACCCACTGCTCTGCACACACCCTGAACCTGTGCCGACTGCAGGACTGATGTCTGCCGTTTCTTGGCCCGAGTCTTACCCCTACTCTAAATTTGCCTGCCCTTCCTGCCAGCCCAGGGCAGCTCCCACACGTGCTGAGTCTTCTCAAGCTAGCCACCCGTTTCCCCGGCAACCCCTAACACAGACACCTGCCCATCCCATGCGATCCTGGGAGCTGTCGCTGGAGAATTTCTAATTCAGTGATGAGCTGCCTTTTTTTTTAAACCCAAAAAGCCTTCTTTATTAAACCAACTTCAAGTGACAACAAGGTAGGGGGAAAAAAAGGCATGGGGGGGGGTCTTTCCTTTTCAGTAAGTTGTATTTTAACAAGAAATGCAAAGGTTTTTGTACCTGCACTTCAGTGTAGACGTTTTATACTTCAGAGTAAACTTCAGAAAGGACAGAGAGAGAGACAGCCCTCTGTACACAACACCACCCTGCCTCCCAGGGCATTTCTGGGCGATGAGTGTGGAAGCGGCCCTGGGAGAGCAGGCATCAGAACTTGGCCCCAGCATGGGCACCATCGGAGTCCCGAGCAGGAAGCACTGGGCACTCGTGGCAGGTGAGGGAGACGGGGTCACGGGGTCAGTGATGATGACAGTGATGACGCTGACAGCAGCTACCACAACCAGAACGTGGTTCGCGCCAAGCATGGGGGCGTGTTCCACGCATGCGCCGTCACCCAATCCAGTGAACCCAGGCCGTGGGAACTGCTCTCCTCCTCCCCGATTCACACCGGAGGAAAGCAAGGCTCCCAAGCTCAGAGAATCATCCAATATCACAGGGCTAAGCGATGGATCTGGGGTCAGGCCCCGGCATCTGACGCCCCATCCTGCGCCCGAGACGCTGCCCCTTTCTGCTCAGGGGGAAGGGGCAGATCTTCGCCTCCTGCCCCTTTCTGCCCTCTCCTTTCTGCTCTCCCTTCTCCACCTTCAGCTTCCGGCACTGTGAGGAGGGAACACTCTTGCTTCAAGCTTTGCAGAAAAGCAGCGAAGAGGGTGACTCGATTCCTCTTCTCTGGGGACCCCTCCTCCCGCCGAGTACGTCCCTCCTCCGAACACAGCGTGGGTGGGCAGCCCCTCCTGCTCCTGCCCCTGCCCCTGCCCCTGGAATGCAGCCTGGCACTGACCCTCCATAGAACGGCCTCCCCACCAGCTCTGACAAAATATGTCTGGTTTCCTTTTCCTATTTTAAGGGGCTGGGAATTTAGCTCAGTGGTGCTGCCACCTGCCTCACAAGCGCAAGATCCCAAGTCTGATCCCCAGTATCCCCCCAAAAAAGAAAAGAAAAAATAAATTCTATTTTAAGTCAAAGTCTAATGCTAGGAAAACCTCTGGTAATGGGAGGGTGCTCATTGCTGGTCTGACTTACATAAAACACTCTGAAAATGTGCAGAAAAGAACTCCAGGGAGGGTTCATTGGAGAACGGCCTTGTCTGTCAACACGTCTCCTCCACGCACACTTTTTCTGCGATACAGGGCACTGAAACTGGAGCCTTTGCACTGAGCAACAGCCTCCTTCCCTTCCTTCCCTTCCCCTCCCCTCTCCTTCCCTCCTCTTCTCTTTTTGTTTCTTTTCTCTCTCCCTCTCTCTCTTTAAAGGTCTCATTAAGTAAGTTGCCCAGGCTGGGCTCAAATTTGTGATCTCCCTGCCTCAGCTTCCCAGAGTGCTGTGATGACAGGTGAGCACCACAGGGCCAGGCTAGCTCCTGCCTTCTCAGTCAATGTCTTCACTAATAAGATGTAGCCAAATTAATACAGTGGTACCTCGGTTCTCTCTGCAATTGTGGTTGCAAACCAAATTGGATGAGAACCAAATCAAACCACTGAATTTGATTCTGTTCTTGTCCAACTCAGTTTGTGGCCAGAACTGTGGAATAAATCCTTTACTACCAAACAGCCGTGAGGGAAGTGCTGTCCTCACTCCTCCTGCTGACTCTAATTAACTGTTTTTCCCACAGTTATTTGAGCCTTTGTTTTTATGGTACCGATGCCTGATCAGGGAAGTCCCCTGTTGAAGGTCAGAGCAATACTCACGCCAAGGTCTTGTGGTAGTCGATGATGTTGGTCACCCCGAGGAATTTCTGCACTGTGTCCATCACTTTGGCAGGTTCTGTTCGCAGCAGTTTGCCATCCAAGACCAGAATCTGGAAAGGAAAGGGAGAAAGGCTGTCTGGACCCCACACTCAGGCCGAGTGTGCCCACTCAGGGCCCGGCAGGCTACCTGGTTGGCGTGGAAGGCGCTGAGCCAGCGCTCAACGTGGGTGGCGTACCAGCCGGGGACCAGGCAGCGGCTCTGGAGGGCACGCAGCTTCGAGGACGCATCAGGTCCAGCTGTGATCACCTCATGGAAGGTGTACTTCAAGGCCACGGGGTCATCATGGGCACGCTGGTGCTGCGGGCAAGGGGAGAGGTGGGTGTGTCACACGGAGCTCCTGTGCTGCAGTCCCAGCTCCGGCTCCCACTACTGCCAGGCCTCGGGGGTCACTGGCCCCCGATCACCGCAAGACGGGATCAGAGTGGACCAGAGTTTCCCAGCAGTGGTCACTCACGTAGCCTTACTGAGGTTGCTGCCTGACCACAGACTGATACATGCTGATGTCAACCTTGTTTCTTTCACAGTGATTCACCTTTCCTTCCACATCAACTCATATCGAGAAAACTTCCCCCCAGTACAAAACTAGAATGAGCTACCACATATAGAAGGTAACCATCAATAAACGCAGTAAAAATAAGTGACTCTCCCAAACACCACCACCGTCTGCCCTCTGTCTTCGTCAGAAATAGGGCTTGGCTGTCTTAGCAATAGCATCGGAGCCACCTGCCCCAAAGTGATCATTTTCCTTTATGGAAATCAGATTGGGGAGCACTGTAAAGGGAGAAATGCCGAGTCTGAGTCACCAAAAGTAATTCTGTGGGCCATTAGCAGCGGCAGGATTCTCAGAGTCCAGTTCCTGGCTAGGCACAGTGCTGCACACCTATAATTCCCCTGTGCGTGGCTAAGGCTGAGGTAGGAAGATTGCAAGTTCAGGCCCAGCCTGGGCAATTTAGTGACTTAGGAAAAAATTAAATTAAATGAAAAAGGTACTGTGGATGTAGCTCAGTGTAAAGGCCTTGGGTTTGATCCCCAGTGCAGATCACAGCCTGGAGACATGCCCACGAGGTGGATGATGCCCCTCCCAGGCTAATCCCGGGCCCCTTTGAGGGCCACCACAGCCCAGGGCAGGAAGACCTCATCCTCCTGACCTCACTGCCAAGACAGGCAGCTGCCCTTCCGCTCCTTCCAGTCCTCTGTTGGCTTCCCTGGTAGGAATGGCCTCCTTTCTCGTCTCCCTAACCCGCTGTGATCATGGACGGGAGAAAGAATAGGTCTCAGAGATAGAAGACTGGATTCAGAAGCCCACCAGATGAAACGCACTGAGACCGGGTCTTCTCATTGGTGTGAAAGGGACACAACACCCTCTGCCTTCAAGGAAACTGCTGTGAAGAGCCAGTGAGGGGCCAAACCTGAGCATTTTCACAGTACAGACCAGGGGGCTGCCTTGACAGCTGCTTGAAGCCCTTATCTGTCCCTCACAAAAGCAGTGGGTGAGCACGTGGCAGAATGTGAAGAGAAACAGCCTGTGGTGTTTTGGATTTTTCTACAGAGACAAAGCGCACAGGAGAAATGGACACTAGGACACAAACAAAAGTCCTGGGGAACAAGAGGAAGAGGAGGCTTCCTCCACACCCTTGAGAGGGGAAGGGCTCCAAGGGACAAGAGCAAGGAGGACTGCACTTGCTGGCACTGAGGGGGACACTGTGAGGCCCCAAGGAAGCAGCCACCAAGGCATCCAAGGCAGAGTCTCAAAGAGGGACAGTGAGCTACAGAAGAGGCCTTCACAGCCAGGATGGCTGACGCCATCCCGGGAACCGTGCACGAAGGCCCGGGGGTCCCCTGACACCAAGAGCAGGCCTGGCCTGCTGGCTTCACAAGGGTGGTCAGGATTCTAGTCTTAGGTACCAGGCCCACTTCCACATCAAAGCACATAGTGTGGCATAAGACGGCTGGCAGGCAAGAGAGGAACACAGGCCCCAGGCACTCACAACAGGCTGACAGCATCCTGGTGAGCACTGTGGGCTACACACAGAAGAAATTAAATCAGGCCAGGCATGGTGGTGCACACCTGCAATCCTAGCACCTCAGAGGCTGAGGCAGAAGGATCACCACAAGTTCAAGACCAGCATGGGCTACATAGTGAATTGAAGGCCAGCCTGAACTACATAAGTCTCAAAAAAAAAACACACAAAACAAGAAGAAGAAAGAAAAGAGAAATTAAATCAGATCACAGAAACAAAGAGAAGTTCTAGCTCTCATCCACCTCAAGTAAGAAGGAGGATCCATCCCTCCAGTGGGCCAGGTGTTGGTGCAGCCCACTCAGAACAGCAGGTCCTGCGCCCTGGCCTCCCAGTGTCCATTTCCACCCATGCTGTGGCCTGTGGGGAAATCAGCATAAGTCCAGATGCCAAGGCCAAGCTGTCCCAAGGTCTCCTGGTCTCCACCTCCTGTGGGTGCCAGGATCACCCCACGTGAAGCTGTGGCTGGCATTCTGCATCCACGTCAGGCTGGACGTGCCAGGACTCACCTCACACCAGGTACCTGGCTCGGGGCCAGCCCATGCAGGTGCTTCCTTGGCGTCGCTGAGTGACTGAGTGTCAGACAGAGACCGCACCCTGCACTGAGCCTCAGACCACCCTTGCTCACCTGGTACCAAGAATAGGCCCGGTCCGCAGGGTTGATGAGGATGGTGAGGATCTTGGCCTTGGGCAACAGGGCAGCTGCCCGCCGGGGCGCCACTTCAGAATCAAAGTAGTTGGCACTCTTCTCAAAGTAAAAGTCAGAGGTGGTGTTGGACGGGATGGGGAAGAACTCCATGTACCTGCGGGAGGCCAAAGTGGGCCGCTCAGGAGATGCCCAGCAGGAAGGGGCCCACGGATGCTGTGCAGGGCCTTCCTCCGAGAGCAGGGAGAGCTGCTCGGGCCAAAGCAAGTCTCCCCACAGCGGCACTCGGGGGAACAGCAACTTGGCCAACTCGCTATGCCAAATTCCTTCCTTTCTAGTGGAGGCTGTGGTGTCGAAGGGTCTGAGACTCCGAGAAGAGTGGTAGTGTTCTGGCCTAACCTCAGATCCCAGCAGTCTGATGCTCTGCACCTAAACCCACAGGCCCAACTCTGGGCTAGGGGCTAGCAGCTCTCTGGTCCCAGGAGGACCCACTGGCCGGGAAAGCGCCCTCTGCTGCCTCTAGAGGGCAGGCTTGCTTTCCTTACGGCAACAGTGCTCTCTAGTCCCTCGCAATGACAAAGGGGGGGGGTCACCTCATGCCACGTGTGCCCCCTCCCCAGCCTGCTGTGGGTGAGAGAACAGCTTTCCAAATCAACGTCCCACACCCTGCCTGCCCGAATGATGACCACCTCTACCCTATGCGCCATCCTGAAAACTATGAACTGTCCAGGCCCTCCCAAGGCACCTACTCGTGTAAAGCCAGAATGTAACTTTGAGGACCCAGGGGAAGCAGGGGGAACCCCAACGAACAGCATAACATCTCTGTCCTGTGACACAGAGTTTCTCCACAGCGGTCCCAAGGACCCTTTCACAGCCACCATGTGCTCAGTAGGCTCTGCCTCCATACAAAATCAGAATCTTGAGTATGGGGCCAAGGATCGTCCTCTCTCCTTTTTCTGTACCTTTTTTGTTTGTAACATGTAACTCGAGAAAGCTCAAAAAGCAAGAGCTTTGCTTCCTAAGCTTATAGCAAAGCCATTTGGCAGCAAAGCTCGACTTCTTTATCTTATCAGGTATAAATAAGCATTCACACACTTTGCTACAGACCTGCTAATGCACTGCCCTGGAGCGCTGCCCCAGGCTCTTTTGAAGAAGTTAAGTACTGGCTTTGCACTACGTTACCTCTCCAAATCCAGAAAGCACTGGCTTCCAACAATCTCTCTGGCCACAAGAGGTTTCAGGTAAGAGACCAGACATGTCAGAGATTATAGAGGATGGATGGATGGATGGATGGATGGACAGATACACGGGCAAGACAGACAGATGTGTAGAAAAACAATAAGTCATTAAGAGAAATACAGAAAAAATATTTTTTAAAAACCCGTAATTCCTCCACCGAGATAACCTGTTAACTTAACCATGATAAATAATGCTAGCACATGTACATATGAAAATTTAAAAGGTAATAATAGGGAAAGATGCAAAATGAAAAACTAGAAAGTAATACCATGCATGCTGCCTCCACTAACACCAGAAGTCACCCCCGTGGAAGGCTCTGGTGGGAAGCCATGACTGTCACCGCCTGCCCAGAGGAGCCCTGAAGGCCAGCCAGCGCGTCAGAAGAGTACACAAGAACGACCTGTCTCCACAGCTTGCCACGCAGGGGGCAAGGCCAGCTCTCGGCCAGCACACCAGGATGTCAGCCCTGCTCTGTCACCAGCAGACCTTGGGTCCTTGCATGAATCTTCCCTCCCCTCCTCTAGGGGGCAAGATGCTCCTGTGCAAGCAAGAGGGGGGCTACACTCCGACCTCAGCAGTCTACGACCCAGGCCATGATGCAAAGGGGCAAAGGGCTTCCCCATTGAGCGCCCTGTCCTTGACAACATCCTCCCAGCATGATTCAAGGGTCACTGATCCTTGTCCCTGTTTACAGGAACTTTAGCTGTGTGTGAGCAAGCACCAGCTGCTTCCTGCTGTGTCCACTGTGACCTCCCCATGCGGCTCCATGATGGCCTTCCCGTCCTGCTGTGCACAGAGGCCCACTCACCAGTCGATGCCTTTGTGATAGTTGTGGCCGTTAAAAAACTGGATCTCCTCAAAGGTCTCTGAGCTGGGGTAGTTGCTGCTTAGGTCCGGATGCATTCCCAGAAATAAGTAGAGGGCCGTGGTACCTGGAGGAGGGGAGCCACTGAGGACCACAGCCCACCCCAAACAAAAAGGTGGAGTTTGGGTTCTGGGCCTGGCTCACCAGTGTCCACTGGGAGGCCCTGGGGAAGTCCTTTCCCTTCTCTGTGACTTAGCTTCCACATTTGTACAATAAGAGCTGACAGGTCCAGAGCTTGCCTATGGACCCGGCAGCTCTGTGCCCCTTTCAGACATCACGGCCTCCTTTATCACTGAACAGGACTTGACCTCAGGACCCTTCTCATTACTGCACTCTGACAATCATGTCCAACTGAGTGCAGTCTCTGCAGAATCTCACAGCTAGAGGCTCTGCTGGCCCTTTCCAGCTCTAGGCCTCTGTCCACTCTGGTACTTGGGAGCAGCCCAAGAGAAAGGGGCTCCAACCCTCCCTGCGCTAATGTGAAACTATCCTAGAGCCAAGAACACTGGCTCCAGGGTCTTTTCTTCTGGTTCCTCCTTCCTCATCCACTCCCCGTGGTGTGACCCTCATTTATAGGCTACAGTGAGCGTACCCAGAGGAGAAGAAGGCTGCAAAGTTTGGTGAGTAAGAGCCAGCTTTGAAGTCACGGAAACCAAGTCTCAAGACCTAGAACTGCTAAACGTGCTACGGGAAGCCCCTTCACTTCTCTGAGCCTGGAGTTTTTTCTGTAAAATGGGAGTAGCCATTTGTGCCTTGAGTGTGGTGTGGATGTCAAGTCATTAGCAATCACACCACTACTTCTTCATCATGCACCTCTGGCAGGCGTGATTAATGGATTACAGTCCACTTTGCATTTAACCAGCTTTGCCGGGCTCAACTTGAACTTGCAGAGCAACTGATCTGAGTTTCCTTTTCGGCCTACACTCAAGACTACCGGGGGGACGCAGGGAAAGCTCCCGGAGGCTGTGATTAGACAAACACAAGAGTCCCACGCTCATCCTCCACTCTCGTCCCACCTCCACACCGACAGGCGATTTCTCTTCACCCCAACGCTACTCCTACTTCTGGGAGGGACAACGGGAAGTGGGACCTTGGCTGGGTGGTCCCCAGTACTGCACAGGCCAGACAGCAGGGAGTAAGGAGGGCTGGCTCAAGGGTGGAGAGACCTGCCTGTTTTCTGAGGGCCAATGATAAGGAGCTTTGGGAAGCGGTCACATGTCTTCTCCTTGGACCAGATGTCTTTGTGGCGTTTGTCCTCGCAGGGGTCCTAAGACAACAGTGGAAGAAATATGAGAGGCCGCGGAACTCAACGAACGGGCTTCACTGCGTGTGGATACTGAGCTCTTCTAGCCCCGACGGCTAGCTACAATACCTCCATGTGCCCTTGTCACATCCACCCTCCAGACGCTGAGTGTGACAGGCAGGGACCATTTCTGGTGAGTCCCAGGTCCCCAACCGACCCTGGCAAAGTGCCCAGCTACACGCTTGGCACATATTAGGCCCTTGTTAAACTGAGCTGGACAAACAGTGTCTGGACCAGGGGTCAGAAAACTTTTCCTACAAAGTTTGGTAAATGTTCAGTAAACATTGCAGCCTTTAGATTCTGTTGGCTTTCTGCTGTTTCCAGGAATATGCATGGCTGTGTGCCCAAAAAACTACACAAACAGACCACAGACTAGATTTGGCCCATGAGTCACAGTTTGTGGACCCTTGGTCTTAACTATGAGACACCACCGATTCCAGCTCCTGCTTCCAATGTTTAACAGCTCCCAAGAGCAGACTTTGCTGAGAACTGCCTCTCTGAACTCTCCCAACAGCTACCTCCCAGTGGCTCAGAACTGCTGCAGTTAAAGGGGCCTAAGACATTATGCAAGAGACAACCACAGCTCTTTTAATGTCTTTTTCCATTTTGTTTTGCTTTTGAGACAGGGTCACACTATGTAGCTAGCTAGACAGGGCCTAACTCACAATTACTCCTGCCTCAGCCTCCCATGTACTGGAATAACACTATTTTTCCAGGCTTGCATGTAAACGTGCACGCATGCAGGTCTGTGTGAGGAGGTGTGAGTCTGTACGCACAGGAGCATGTGTGTGTGAAAAGGAGCAAGTGTGCCTGTGTAGCAAGCAAACAAGTGCCCAATTTGCACTTGGTGTGAAGGTGGAGGCCTAGAGCGCGTGCCTGTGAATGGAGGGCATTCCATCCCACAGCGAGGTGCCAGCCTACCCTATTCCTACCTGCCAGAGGGGGTCCTTCTCCTCAGAGAAGATCTGGAAGTACTTCTGGGCCAGTTGCACGGGTGGCAGCGTCTGCAGCCGCAGGCTGGTCCAGGAGTGCAGGAAACGCACCAGATGCTTAAAGGTGTACAGGCCCAGGCGGTCGTTCCCATAGTTGGACAGGTGTGTCATGAAGATGCTGATCTGCTCCGGGGCAGGGGAAGAGGGAGGCAGCATGTGGGTCAGCATCTGAGCCCCTCACCCCCACCATGGACCCTTCTAGTTCAGTCTGTGTGCAGGGCTGCCCCGTGACCAGTGTGAGACACACTGGGGTCATCACAGACCTGCTGTGAGGCCATGGCCGAAGCACAATCAGGACGGGCCATACCTAACTGACCCCAAACATTACAACCCTATGGAGAGAGGCTGGCTGATGCAGGAGCTACTTGTATTGTGTTTTCTAGACCTGGAAGAGTAGTGTGTAGGTAAGGAAAGGAGTACTCAGCCCATAAAGATGAATAATAACAACCACTTGACATTTACCTAATATTATTAAAGTACGGATAATTATCTGCATTTACAGATAAACAAAAGCAGCTTAAGTGGAGTCATTTTGTGTGTGTTGCGTGTGGGCGTACATGTACACAAGCATATACAAAAACTGGAAAAAGAGCATGCACAAAACGAAGAAGCTCTGGTTCTTTCTTTAGTCCAGATCTCGTTTTGAAGGAACACTGCCGGTACCAAATAACAGGCCTCCCGACCCCCAGACCCCCCTGCCAGTCTCCCCACCCTGCCCAGGCTGCCCGGTGGCACTCGTCACACCAGCTGCCGGCTGCAGGAACTCACGGGGTTGAGGAGCACAGTGAGGAAGAGCTCGCCCCCATTGATGATCTTGTCCAGCTCACTGGAGCCGCCGGGATACTCATTGTAGAAGATGGTGTGTGTGAAGAGGCCACAGGTCTGCCTTGGGAGGACCTGGGAGGATGGGAGAGGGGCTATGGCATCTCGGGTACGGAAAGCAGAGGGTGGTCCCTTCCTCAGTAGAAGAGCTTGGGTATTTCCTCAGAAAGACAGCCTCCTGGGTGGCCTCACAGCCCTCACCCAAGGAGTTCCTGGCCCCAGAGTCTCAGCAGCAAAATCTGCCCCACTGTGGCAAACCACAGGCCCTTGCTGTTTAATATGACACAGCTATTCTCTGCACAACATAAGCAGGCTCCAAAGGAACACGGAGAGTACTTCTGAAAACCTGCACCATTTTCAGCAAGGATCTTTGGCCCCTTAGAGCAGTTCTGCAAGCCCCTGACGTGAGAGCCTTGCCTGGGCACTCTTGGTTATGCACCAGCTTAGCCGTTTATTTTCCATCTCCTCTCAGGAATCCAAGCTCTGGGGAAACCCAGCCAGGCCTTCCTTGTGAGGACCTTCTTCCCAGAGTTCTGTGAGTCCCTGGTACTGAGGAGTGGTGGGTGGGTGGGTTATGGCTTAGAGCTAGATACAACCTAAAGCCTCGTGTGCTTAAAGGTGGGGCTTTGAGGGGTGACGATCATGGGTGTGTGATGCTGGATCAGCTTACTGATTGGTTTAGCATAGTTCTGGGTGTGGGTGATGGACTTACTGAAGACAGAAGACCCCCTCTATGTGTGGATAGCACCAACGAATAGGCTTGTAGCCTGGTTGGAATAAAAAGCAAAAGAAGGAAGGCTCAGCTCCCTGCCTGCCATGCCAGGGACTGTTTCTCCTCTGCCGTGCCGCCCTGCCATGCAGCCAGCTGACTATGGACTGAAATAAACCTTTGCTCCTGCATCTTGTGGGTGTCAGGTGTTTCGTCCCAGCAGTGAAAGTAACTAAGACACCCATCTTGACTGATAACTCATCCTTCCAGGCCAAAACTATGGAGTCATCTTTGATTCCTCTCCTTCTTCCGCACCCTACACCCCATGTGTCACAGGTCCTCCTGTCTCTAACTTCTGATAAGTCCAGCATATGGTTCCAATTTTGCACCCTGGTCCAAGCCAGCACCATCGTTCCTCTAGAAGACTGCAGTGGCCTCCTAACTAGCCTGCTTGCTTCCACTTCTGTACCCTACAGCCTGCTCGACACCACAGGTAGATTGATGAAAATCCTCTTATAATGTGAGTCAGGTCAGACTCCAGTCAACACTTCCTGTCTCTGCCTAAGAGCTGAAACCCATTGGTGGCCAGCCTTCCATGGCCCTTTCATCTGGCCCATTATGCCTCTGACACCCTGTCCTACCTGTCTCTCACTCCATCCCCTCCAGCCACACTGGCTCCTTCTTGGTTCTCAAACACATCCAGCACAAGCCTGCCTCCTGGCCTTTGCACTTGCTGTTTTCTCTACCTTGACTGCCTCACCACAGAGAGCAGTGTGGCTAATCCTGGGAAGGCCCTGTCGACTCACTCTCTCCCTTCTCTGCCTCACTCTCTCCAAAGCAGTTATTACCGTGTAACATGACACACTTTACCCACTCTGAAGTGTACTGTCTGTCCCCTGTCACTGGAATGTCAGGTCTACAAAGCCAAGAACTGTTGTAGATCTGTGCATTTCTACATGCCTGAAAAGGGACAGACACGGGAGAAGCTCAAGGGAAGCTCTTCGTTGAGCAGATGAGTCTAACAGCCCTGTCTTCGTCAGGACCTCCTTTAACACAAGTTGGCCCCTGATCCAGCTCACAGAGGGGAGCACCTTGTATGGCCCACCTTCCCCAGCACAGAGCCTCAGAGCCTGAGGTGGTAGAGGAACCGCCCTGCCCACGCCCCCGCCGGCCGTTGGGCCACTTGCCATGATGCCGTTGTGGATGAAGCCGCGGCGGTAGCGGGCCGGCTTCAGGTGTGGGTACTCCTCCGTGCTGGTCACGCGGATGCTCCACACCTGCTTCCACGCCTCGTACAGCTGCACGTGCACGGGGTACACGCCCGAGTGGTGGGGCGCCACGGCGTACCCCATGTCCGTGGGGATGCCGTGCTCCTGGGGAGAGGACAGCCAGGCCGGGGTGAGCATGGCATCTTCCCCTTGGGCCTTATTCCCCATTTGTTGAACACGAGAGTAAAGTCAGAGGGTACGATAGCAGGGCAGTGGGTCCAAGCGCTCGTGGTGCACCGGGGAAGTTGGGACCCAAAATCTTAGACTGAGTGACTGGCAGGGACAGGACTAGAACTCCTAACTCTTAGGCCAGGGTGCGATGCCCTCCAGCTCAGAGGATGCACACGTGGTGAGGGACAAGGACAGGGCTGTTCCTGCCTCTCTTGCCTCAGACTGGCAGGTGAACCCAGGCTCACTTCTCTAGCGCCAGCCTCCCACTGAGCCCCTCTTCTCACTTTCTGGGGCCTCCCAGCCCAGCCTGCAGGTGGGAGCTTATGCCCAGGAAACACGAAGCTCTGTGCCTGAGTCCTAGTGTGACCTCTTGGGCCTCGGCTTCCTGTCTACAAGAGGGTCTATTGTCTTGAGACTTCCAGGATATGGGCTGCAAAAGCAGCTCACCCCAGGCCACTGTCGGGCTGCTGAACTGCAAAAGTGGCCAGAGGCCAGCAGCTCAGACCACCCCCAGTCGGGCCCCCGGCCCACCCAGCTCTGCCGTGTAGGGAATCTTACTCACGACAGCGAACTTCTTGTTCAGGGCCATCTGCTCAGCCAGCACAGACTGGTTGTGGAAAAGGTGGGGCTGCATGTGGCTCCACATGTGGGGGAACCACCAGAATTCCTTCACATACGACAGCAACAGGTCATCCCCAGCATCCTCGGCGTCCGTACCTGCAGCATTCACAGGACAGCTCAGCCCGGTTAGCGAGGCACCGCACTCTGGCCCAGCGGGTGATGAGTGCATCCCCGCAGCCTGCCCGCGAGCTGCCTGGAAGTTCTCTGAGCTCCAGCGTGGGAGGAAACAAGAGCTGGTCCAGAGTTAGGGCTCCAGTCTAGGATGCGCCCTTGGTCAATGAGTGCCCGTGGCCAAGACACTGTCCTCTGGGCCCTTGCTTGGGGTACACAATGACCTCAAGGGTTTCCTCTACTCATCCTGTGCCTGCTATGGCCCTAGTTCGGGATCCACACTGGGTCACTGTCTCTTACCTACTGGTGTACAGAAACTCTTTGTGTATGTAGAGGATGCTCAACCCTCCATCTCACGTGTACTACTGTGACCACCCAGATATGCTACGCGATGCAGATACAGCAACGGTGCAGAGACAGTCAGCACCGCTCCTATCAGGCTTTGGGGCTACTGCACAGTTTCCCTCCACCCTGACTGCTGGTTTTGCCTCCAGTGCAAGAGTGGCTGTCCTCTCCGTGGCCTGAGCAGAAGGCTGCATAAGGTAATGGTCACTGCCAGTGGCCAGGTCAGCAGTCCCTCTCGCCCAGTCCCAGAAGGGCCATGGAGGAACTGAAGAGACACCAAAGAGGAAGGAAATGTGATCCAAGTGACCTACACCCCGACCTTAAGCAAACCCAGGAACTTACTGTCCTGGGAGAGTTACAGGTAGTTTTCACTCTCTATGCCACACAGTTCTGTCATGTTCTTAGACTTCAACTGATTTTTCTTATCAGCCAAAAAAATACAAATAATATTAAAAGGTGACAGTGAGGAAGAAACAAGACAGCAGATGCCCCATGTGAGACTGAAAGGCACGGGAGCTGTCGTTGTTAGCCCAAAGCAGTGCTAGGGGTGGTGACTGCTCTTGGTGACTACTGGCTCTGGGGGACAGAGGGGTCAGTCAGCCCACGTGTGGGCTGGCAAGCAGCCTGCTGCATTCATGGCACACTAACCCACACTAACGAAGGAGGCCTGGCAGGTGCCGGTGGGACAGGGCCCCTTACCTGTGTGGAAGAATTTCCCTGAGTAGCCCAGGTTAAAGGTGAAGTTTGGGATGTGTGCTCGCAGCTCATTCTGTGTGTCAAACAGGGCCTGAGGAAGGCAGAGAGAAAGGGAGGTATGAGGAAATGCCAGGAGCTCCCTGCTCCTCCCGCCGAGGGCTCAAGAAGTGTTCTGCATCAGCAGAGCCAGCTACAAAGTTTGCAGTGCCCAGAGGAAAATGAAAAGGTGTGGGACTGGGGGTAACTCTATGGTAGGGGTCTTGCCTGGCACACAAAGCCTTGGGTTCCATCCCCAGCCCTACAGGACCCTTATTCAAAAGGTATGAAGAAGACAACAGCAGCACATGGCACTGTGGAGGTGCTGCCCGCACATCTGGGAGGCCAGGCCATGGCATGAGAAGACCTGCACTCCAGCAGGCTCTGCTGTGTGTCTTTGAAAGTGTCATAATTTCTCTGGGCCTCAGTTTCCTCAACTGTCAAATGGAGCAGATGATCTCTTCCTGCAGGGGCTCTGGGGAGAACGGTGTGAGACACCGCATGGAACACTGCCTGACATTTGGTGAGGGATGAGAAATGGCTGCTATGGTCACATCTGTGGTCACTGCCACTGTGGGCCCAGTGTCGTCGTCACTCAAAGGATTTCTCCTCCTCAGAGGGATGCAAGGCTGACGTAAAGGGACCATGACTCTTCTAAGGATGTGCTCTGGTCCAGCACCTTGCTGTCCCCACGTGTGGCATACCCAGCACTTGCCAAGTCAGGAAGGGTGCTGACCCTGCTAAGACAAACATGCAGCTGGACCCCAGGTCCATGGTTCACAGGCTGCTAGGGAATCTGCAACCACCTGCTTTCAGGACATGTTGCACACTCAGCATCCTGACCCTCATGAGCACCCTCCAGTGATGTGGCCTTGGGAAAGTTGGCCTCGGGGTCCCTCCTCTCTAAAATAGATTTCATGACAGCACCCTCCTCACCAGGCTGCAGTGAGGACCCAGTGAGGATGCAGAGAGCGCTGAGCGTGGCTGGCATTCAACAGGCCCAAAGAGCGGCCCCTGCTGGTGTTACTTCAACTGCACTGCGTACAAGGCCCTCCGCGTCCCTAGCACAGGAGCAGTGGTGGGCAGTGCTTGGGATTAGAGGAACCCTCTGTCCTCTCGACAAGGATGGGTGAGGGTCAGAGACCTGCCAGCGCTTTGCCAGCTGCACTGATCTGAGTGCACAGAAGGGGGCGCCCGATGTGTTTCCTCTACAGAAGCAGCGCATATCAAGCCTCTAGTTTAGAAATGGGGAAAAGAGGAAAACCAAAGCAGGTGCTCCAGGGGCCTGGGGTGGCGGGGGATGCAGTGGCGTCCTAGCATGCTCAGCCTGGACAGGTCTCACAGACACTCCACTGCACAGGCGGTCAGCGCCGGGTCCCAGCAGGACAGAGCATGGCTGCGCGGCCAGGGGAGTGTCCTAAGCAAGAAATGAGCAATCTGCTCTGCTAGAGGCCAGTCACAGCTCCAAGCCGATTAGAGGGGAGGCCTGATGGGAAGCATTTCAAAAATTTCTTTCAATAGGTGAGCCCGAGAGGGAATGCAATTTCAGGAGGAAACATGATATGTAAAAGCAGATCAGTTACACTACCCAGGCCTATGCAGGCAGCCTGCAGGGTAGAGCTGGGGGCCTAGACAGACCCCAGCCAGCCAGGGACCCCTCTGCGAAACCACTGGGGAGTAGGAAATGGCCCCAAATCCTCACATCACCCCATCTTGTCATTTTACGGCTGAAGCTCGGTGGTGGGAAGGGACCCGCACGGGTCACCCTGTTGGTCAGGGTCACATTAGGACTCGACTGGCATAGAGATTGAACACTGCACCGCACCGAGGCCTACACCGCCCAGGGAGAGAAACAGTCCTCAAATAAGCCTCTTTTGAAAGCCCTCTGCGTGCATCAAAGAGAAGTCTTGGGTTGGTGCTAATATGTTTCTAACACTCGCTAATCTCCTGTAAGAGAGGACACCCGGTCAGCAGGCAGCAGTGTCTCTGGAGAATTTAATCCCCTGTTTTGTTTTCATTGGATTTATTGTTGTGGTTGCCCTCTGTTCATGGCAACCCATACTGATTCCCATTCCACGAGGGTGCCGTCTCCTTCACAAATAGCTTTACAGTAATGAGTAGCTGGGAACTGTGTTTTAAAGATTGCTCAGTGGTCTTCATCTGCAGCTTCTCTTTCTTGGTGATACTTCATTTACATGTGTGTAAAAGCTTGTGGTTTGCAAAGTGCTTTTACATACAGTTTTGTTTGGTAAACACTTTTTTTAATTCAACACATGTATCACATCATCTATAGATAACACATGCCCCAAAGTGGGAATTGAGCTCTTGCTTTTGTTTTTAAAATGCTGCAGAATGGGCCAGGAATTTAGCTCAGTAGTTCTGTTGCCTGCCTTGCAAGCACAAGGTCCTGAGTTCAATCCCCAGTACCAAAAACAAAAGATAAAATGCTGCAGAAGATCTGATATTGATATAAACATTTTTAAGAGTTAAAAATCCTATCTAGATTAAAAGGCAGTTTCCACTTTTAGGTTTAGGTGTATGGGTGCCTGCCTCTGTAGATACACACTTGACTTCCATGACCCAGATGTATAATTCCTCTATGTTTAATATTTCAACAAAAAATTTAAATAAGCTATGACATTAATAAAATTTGGTGAAAGTAAAAAAAAAAAAATTTAAATTACCGAGGTACAGTGGCACACACCTGCAATCCCAACTACCAGGGAAGTGAGGCAGATGGAAGATCACAAGTTCAAGGCTGGCCTGGGCAACTAAGTGAGTCCCTGTCTCAATTTTCTTTTTTTTGAGATAGGATTCTGCTAAGTCTCAGAGATACCCAAGCTGGACTTGAACTTGTAATTCTCCTGCCTTGGCCTCCCAAAGTGCTGAGATTACAAGTGATCACCACCACGCCCAGCTCCCTGACTCAAAATATAAAAAAATAAAAGAAAAAAGACCTAGAGATGTAGCTCAGTGGTAAAGTACTTTTCTAGCACGTGCCAGGACCTGGGCTTGATCCCCAGCTCTGAACACACAATTTAATCACACACAATTTAAATCACACTTGCTCCTAATAAGACCATTTATAAAAGCTAAGCGGCCAAGGTCGCAGGTGAGGCCAGGCTATAAATAACCAGCAGCACGCGAGTGACGCAGACAGGGCAGAGCAACAGTGGAATCCACACAGTGTTGAAGCCCTTGTCGCCCCTCCTTACCTTCACGTCCTCCACCTTCATGCGCGTCCCCTCCTTGCCCACAAAGATGTCATCGATGTCCACCAAGATGTAGCGGTCCAAAGGCAGCGACAGGCGCTTCCCCGTGAGGAAGGCCACGGCGTCCACAAAGACAAGCTTGTGCAGCCAGAAGTTGAGGTTGTTGCCGAACAGCACACGCTGGATGCCATCATGGAGGCCCAGGTCCTGCACCACGGTGGCATGCAGGGCAGCATGCAGGCCGGCATCGGCGCCCAGGTGTGGGATGGACTCGGAAGAACGCGTCTTGGCCAGCAGCACTGGCTCATATGTGGAGTGGTTCGACTGGAACACGGTCCAGTCCTCACCAGGCAGCACGCCCTTCTCCACCTCGCTGGGCCGCGTCACATAGAGCAGTGGGGACTTGGGGTTTATGCTGCAGTCCTTCAGGCCCAGGTTCGAGTGCAGGAACAGCGGGAAGCCCTTGAGTTGTGCGCTCAGCAGGCTGTTCTCATTGGCCTGCAGTCAGGCAGAGGAACAGCGCCGAGATCTCAGATGGTGACCAGTACCAGCAACATCAACAATACCCACAGCATTCACGGCGGGCTCACCTACCCGTCTCTGTCCCACCTGCCCCTAAGAATGCACCAGCGACTGTGTGGGACTCACTGGCCAAGCCTGGTAGTGGAGCTGCGTACTTGGCATGCAGGACTGCCATACCCCCTCGTGACTCCATGAAGGAGATGTTGTCACACCCATTTTACAGTCCCAGAGACTGAGCATTGGAGAGACTCAGTCACGCCGAGGGAAGCACAGCCATAGCGAGCATGGTCTCTCAGGCTGCCTGGCCTTCAAGTTGTCTCACCTGTTCAGGCCTCTGCTGTGAAATGTGCCCGACACCTCATTGCACCTCCAGGATGGGGAGGATCCAAGTTAATGCTGGCAGAGCGCTGAGCACAGGGCCTGAGCACGAGCCACGCTCATCTAGCCCTGCCCTCAGCCTTGGGGACCAGCTCTGCAGGTGCGCTTGGCGAGGGGACACTGTGTGCCCTCCAGAGCACAGTGAGCTATGTTCAGCCTGGGAGGTCTGGCCTTGGAGTCTGCACACCCAACCGCTGTGCTCGGTACCCTGAGGTTTCCAAACGGGCACTGACCACACAACCTTTTCTACAGAAGAAATCTGTGTGTGCAGAGCTAGGCTCCAAACCCCGGGCCTTGCTCATGCTTGGTAAGCCTCTAAGAGCTACTTTCCCTCTACCCCTCTCTTCAGATGTCTTGCATGGGTACAGTGTAGGACATCAAGGAGGAAGAGACTTCTGGAGAGGGGAGCAAACGCACTGCCCCGGTACCCGAGACCACACTCTCACAGGAGTCCAGCTCCTAGACCCACCCAGTCCCTCCTCTTTCCAGAACCTCCTGCCGCTTTGCTCCTGGGACTGCAGATGACTGCCCAACATGCCCAAGTCCTGCCTGCCCCCTCAAGCCGCCTGCTGCTGCACACCCAGCCTCTCTCCAGCCACTCCACTCTGTCTACAGTACCCCTGGTCCTTGTTTCTGTGCTAGTTTCACCCAGTCTTCTTGGCCAGCAGGATCCCACTCTTTCTTCAAAGTCCAACACATATACCCTCTTCTCTGCACTGGCCTCCAAGCTACCATATCCTGCATTATCTGCTCGACGGATATCGCTTCTCGGCCTTTTGGCTAAGACCAAGTACAGTTTACATGACGGAAAGATCTATGAGACTGCTACATGAAGAATGAGTGAGTTAGGACAAAGCAAGAATGGACAAAGAGCACAGAATGAGTTCAGAGCAGGGGTCTGGTCATGTGCAGGACACCAGGGGGCTGCTCCAGGGACCACTATACCAGGGCCCATTGCTGAGCCAGAGGTGGAAGTAAATTCACAGTGGAGCCCATGTCCCGGCACCAAGCTGCACCTGCTCAGAAGGGCGCCCTTCATAAGTCTCCCCAACAAAGGCCCTGTGGGCCATGTCCTTGTGAACCACCATAAGGAGCCACCCTCCCTCGGAGTCTGTACACAGAAGGCCTCAGAGGCCGCCCCTCTAGCGCCAGACTCCCATGGCCCGAGTCAGCGTTGGCAACTGCTTGGGCTGTGTGGGGGCTGGAGATACTTCAGGCCCTGTCATCACCCTGGGAAGCCACACTGGACCACAAGGGCAGAGGGATCCCATTTCAAAGTCCCGACCCTGAGCCAGCTGCCAGGTGCTGCGGCTCGGCCAGCTGCCCAGACATCGAGGAAGGGAGGATGCCAAGTTGCTGAGAGGTAGCCCAGGCGGCAGTGGCAGGAAGCAGCCAGGGAAAGGGTTGGGGAGGCCAGGCGATGAGGACCCTCGGAAGGAACCAACTCTTCCGATGGGGTCACCCAGACAGAGGAAGGCACAACCCGAGGTAGGCAGGAGAGCCAAGGCCTCACACAGGCTCAGCTGGATGCTGTGCAGACCACCAGGTTCCCTCTGGGCCACGACGCTCTTTCTTATAAGGCCTCCCATGGCTAGGTTAGAAGCAAGGAGCCTGGTTGTTAAATCTTGGCTCTGAGACTCACCAGCCACATTACTCTGGTAAAGCCTTTTTGGGCACCAGGTCCTTATCAGAAAATAACATCCCTACTTCATGAGGTAGCTGTGGAAATTAAACAGGATAACACCGCAGGGCAATGAGCTGGGTGTCTGGCACAGCCCAAACGCTCAGAGGCAGAGGACAGGGAGCCTCACCAGACCCCTGCCAGGCCGTGTTCAGACCCAGGCCACCTAGAGTTGAAGGCTGAGGAATGACAGTGCCAGGAACTGAGGCTGTAGAGCAGGAGGCCCTAATTCCCACCCTCAAGGCCCTCACAGGGGCACAAGAGTCACGAGACTGACATAGTGCTGCCACCATTTTTGCTGCACCTGGGGATGATAAAACCTCCTAGTAGGTAGTCATGGTGGTGCACACCTGTATCCCCGCACTCTGCAAGCTGAGGCAGGAGGATCACAGGAATTCAAGGCCAGCCTGGGATACATTTTGAGACCAGATCAAAAAGGAATTCCTGCCAGCTGACATTTATGGAGTGGTCCCAGGGACCAGGCACTGTGCTCAGTGCTTCCCACCCACTGTCTTGTTTTGTCTCCAACACAGCCCAGGGAGGCAGAGCTGTAACTGGCCCCACTTTACTAAAGGGTCAAGCAACCTCTGCTTCTAAGCACCAGAAAGATTTGACCTGGGGCGGGGTGTTAGGCCCCTGCAGCCACCCTGCCCTGGGAATTCAGCTGTGGAGGGAAGGAAGCTGTCTTGGGAGCCCTTGCCATCCTGGGCAACTCTCCCCACTGGAGCTGACTGCATGAAGAAGGAAGATGCCCCAACCACCAGGGGGCACATGTTTCAACAGAGAAAACAAAAGTCTCCACTGGACACCAAGGGGCGGAGGCTGTCTTATGCAGCTGGGCAGGAAGGGGACAAAGAGCCCACAGGGGCATGTTCCTGTCCCTTGCTGGACCTCACATTTACCTTTGGCAGAGCTAGGGTCCACGCTTTCATACCAACTGTGCCCGGTGTCTCCCCTTCATTGTTGCCACCTTCTGTCTGGTCCCTCTGCTGTGGCCTGGGATGCAAACTTCAAGGAAATCCATGGGGAGTCTCTGGGATCACCACACAGTGCTATGACCAGGGCCTCTGGAGTCAGGCTGCTCGGGCTCAAATCCTAGAGAACACTCAGAGGACGCCTCTCTTTGCCTCGATATCCTTCTCTCTTAAATCAGGATGCTGCCACCTGCCTGGAGACTGGCTTATTAGTGTGAAGTGAGTTAATTCACATAGAGCATGGAGGCAGTGCACAACGCACTGAGCAAGCTCTCAATAAATGTCGGTCATTCTGACAGTTTTCAGGCCTGGGGCTCTGAACCGAACTTAATGAGGTTCGCGGCAGGAAAAGGGTACAGAATCCAGGAGGAAAGAAAAAAAAACTAGACAATGGAAGGAGGCTGACTGTATGCTTCTGTAAAGCCATAAACCAGGCCAGTGCTCCCCAGAGGGTGCTCTGTGAAAGAGATCAAGCCAGGTGGGGAACAGACCCCGCAGGTTGCTCTACTACAGGACTTCTGAAGGCTTCAGTCTCTCGGCCCACAATAGCTCTCAGAAGCAGAGCCTCCTGCTGCATTACCGTGTGAAAGAGCGTGTCCTGGGAAATCTTCACCTAGACTAGTGCCTCCCAGCACCGCGCAAAACATGCCAGGAAGTGCACTCCCTCGTCCTCCCTCCTTCTCACACCAAGCAAGAGCCCACAGACCTGTGCGCTCCCTGTCCCTTCTGAGTGCAGGACTCTGAGCGGAAAGCCATGCCACTCCTTCCCTCTCGTCCCCTGGGCTGTTTCATCAGCGATAACTTCCCCGGCTGGCGGGCACAGTGCCAACCTCCCACCCCCTCGTGCCCATCCTTGCTCCGCTCCCTTCTGAGCACTTATCGCCACACCTGAGAAGGGCCCTGCATCCTGTGTTCACATGTCTGGGGCCTGTCAACCACCCTGCTGCACGCAAATGTCAGCTCCATGAGAGCAGAGTGCTTGTCCATTGTGGTCCCCGCTGTGCCCAACGCCAAGCACAGGACCCACAACACAGTAAGTGACCAATGCATGTTTGCCGAACAAAAGGCCAGTTCCTGCTTTCCATCCTGCCTACTGCAGCCTTGGCGCTCCTCCTCGATGACACCTTTTCAGCAGGGACCCCAATCCTACTGACTGCTCTGGGAGCCCCACAGGGCCTAAAGCAGGTCCCCACAGGTCCACTGCCATTTCCTTCTGCTCTCTCTCCCAGTGTAAAACAGCTCTAGTTTGGAAGGTACATGAACTCTACACCCCACTGTGACCAGAGTGCAGAGAGCCCAAACCACCTACGTCTGGGCCGAACCTCAGCTCCCCACTTAGAAGGTTGCACAGCCTTAGGTATTTAATTTGATCTGGGGACACACCTCCTCCCTTGGGAAGACTGCTGATAGGTTTTGGGGAGCCCCCAGCATGCTATGGCTTCCTGCATACCTTGAAGAAGCCGATGATGCCCACACCGTAGGCCACACAGTACTTGTCCAGCAGCTCACGGTTCCAGGCGTCCAGGTTGACGTACTTCAGGATGTTCTCGTAGATGATGAGGGCGAAGCGGCCCCGGCCCTTGTCGGTGAGGGTGGGCATGTCCCCCTTGCCCGGCGCGATCTCCGTGCGGTACTTGAAGCGGCTGGACTCCAGGATAGCCACTACCTCCTGGCCCAGCTGCGAGTAGAGGCTCTCCACGAACACCAGGACCAGCGGGTCTGTGCGGGAAGGGGTGACCACCTGCACGGGCTTCAGCGGCAGCAGGCGGCTGGGGGCCACAGGCGGCGGGTCCCCACAGTCGGACTCAGGGGCATCCACTGAAGGCTCCAGGCCCCGCTTCCAGCCATACAGGTAGTAGGCGGAGACGAAAACACTGAACAGGCAGAAGACGAACAGCAGAAACAGGACAGCCTGTGGGGACACATGCCGACACAGCCTCCGGAGGCATGCCAGGGCAGGCATCCTGGCCCCCGAGACCTCAGCCACCGGAGGCCTGGCCTGCCCTGGCCTCCCCAAGGCCCCACACAGGAGACTCGAGAGTTGTCCACTGACCAAGAAATTCACAGAGGCTTAGGAAGCGAAGCCCTCAGGGGGCAGTGGGCGTGGAGGATCTGCCCCGGCCTTCCTCCCTGCCAGGGGCGCAGTCTGCAGGCTGGCCTTGCTCCTTCCTTCCTCTGCGCCCCTTTATGTCACCATGGCAAACCCCCACGTGATCCTGCGCAGAGCAGAAGTGCCCCAGGGCGTCAGGGCCTCCTGGGGGGGTGGGGCAGCAGGCCAGAGGACACAGGGCCAGTCCAAGGGTGCCGCATGCCACTCACACAGGAGGGCCACAGGGCTGTGAAGAGAACAGCAGAGTCAGTGTGGGCTTCAGGGACAGCTGACAGCAGAAATACAGCAGGCTCGCCTGAGTTCAAGGACTGACACCCAACCTCATGGCGCTGTGCTAAGGCAACCAAGTTCTTCAATCTCTCTGAACCTCAGTTTCAGCATGAAATAGGGCAGATAGTAAATAGTGCCCACCTCACATGGGGCTACAGGATCAAGACCAACAATAAGTATAAATCTCTTGGAGCAGTACCTAATGAGCAGTATCTACAATCGTGTTTCTCATTTTCCACTATTGTCAGAGACCAAGATCAGGCCAAGAAAAATCCAGAAGCAAGAAAGGTAAAGTAAGATACTAAACAATGGTGAGGGCTAGGAGCAAGAGGTAGAATTTTAAATCAAGAGCAACACCACACCGATCTTCCCTGCCCACTACTCTCTCTGAATGACCCCAACAGCCCCATCCCACAGAGGAAAAGAGTGAGTCTCAAGCAGAAGCAGCCAGGGCAGAACCCCAGCTCAGGGATTTGAGGCACCCATGCCTGGCCTGCTGCACCTTTCCTGCACTGAGCACTTGTCTGTATCCCTGCATGGGGCTGTGGCTGAGGGTTACCTGAGAAAATGAGCATAAGGAAACGGGTACAAGAAATACTCAGAAATGGCTACTGCCACCACTTATCCAGATGCAGCCATACGGCTCCCACCCCTGAGGCACATCCCACAAGGTACACACAGTAACCAGACACCGGGCCACCAAACCCCTCATAAGGATTCCGAGCTGCCAAGGGACAGGCGAGGAGGCTCCCAACACCGGGCCTCTGTCCACTGAGGCAGTCAGAACTCTGGGTTCCAGCATCCTCCAGCAGCCTGTACCCCATGCCCAGACCATGCCCCTGCACCTCAGTGGAAAGTTAACTGACTGTGTTAACTTCCCCAACAACAACCCCGAATACAGTCAAACAGGAGTTGAAGCCACAGTGTGAGATTTCCCAGCAATCCAATGGGCAGAGTTCTGGCACAGCGCTGCTGAGAGCTAGCAGGAGAGTTCCCCACACCAGGACAGAAAGAGCACGAATACAGCACGTGGCCTTGGAGACGCTATCTGTGACATCCCTCCCAGCCCCAAGACTGTATGACAGCGTGCTAGACACCCAACAGGTGCACTTCTAGGAGTTTATACTAGAAATAGTCACTGCAAAGATATCCCCCACAGCAATATGAGCCCCAGTGCAGTTTATAGTAACAAGCGCCCAACAAGGGGAGAACTGCCTTGAGAAATTATCATGTAAGTATATGATGCAATCCTGGGTAGTCTGGGTAGCCATTCAGTTATGTTGCAAAGAGACATTTACTGACATTCACCACATATATTGTTGAAGTGGAAAACATTTATAAAACAGTCTGTATGTATGGTCATATTTTTGTTAAATATTTTTATACACAGTCTAAAAACTATTACTAAATACGAAAAAGAAAATAAAAACTGTTAAAAGTGATTATCTCTGGGAGATTTTCATTTTCTGCTTTTTGCTTATGAAATGAAGGGAGTTGTACAGTGGGTTTGGTCCTGGCTGCGCCATGACATGGCTGGCTGTGCGCCGGCCGAGCACACCCTCTTCGGCTCTCGGCTTCCTGTTCCAGTGGACTTGGCTAGATGGTCTCTGGGGTCATTTACCGCAGATGTCTACACTGCAGTCCTCACTACGTGCCAGCACCCTGGGACAGCAGAGGCAGCAGACAGCAGGCATCTATAACGCAAGGGGGATGCGTGCAGCAGGTGGGGAGGGGCACTGAAAGAAGTGAGTGGCACCTGAGCTCAGCAGGGGGAGGGCTGACCAGGGGTGGACAGAACGGCACATACCACGGCCCAAAGATAAGGAGCACTTCCAGGGACTCCCCGCACTCTAGGTGCGAGCAAGGCGAGGAAGGGCAGGTATCCTGACAGAGGTACAGCTGGAATGACTGTTCCTGTTTATGCCCAGCAGGCATGCAGGGTGTCCTATTTACCACTGACAGGGGCTGCCTGAGGCCACATCCAAGCCCCACCCACTGACCTAGGGCCAAGATGGAAGTACAGTGGGGGGTAGGGAGGCCCATGGTGCCCCGCCCACGCTGGAGGAGGAGCCCCTGAATGCTGTAGTCACTGGCCCTCTGTCTCACATTAACAGCCTTTCAGCACGGAAATGATGCAATCCAGACAGTCCCAGGCATCTGAGGGTCGGAGATCTGAGGGTGGGAGTCTGATGTTTTCAGATATTAAAAAATGCACAGTAAAACATGCACATGGCTGCCAGACACTGGGGCTGGAAAGATGAAGAGGCAGAGCCCAGGGGATGCTGAGGACAGTGACCCTACTCTACATGATACTCAAATGGTGGGTGTGTGTCATTAAACAAATGACAAACCCAGTGCACACGAAATAGCGAGGGAGCCCGGCTGTAAACTAGGGGCTCTGCGTGATAATGATGCACCCATGCAGCTTTGTCCACAGTGGGGAGGGACACGCGGGTGGTGACATTGGGGGGGTTCACATATATAATATAGGAAATCTCTGAATTTTTGTTATTCTGTGTCCCTAAAACTATTTTTAAAAATTAACTCTAATACATGTATGTGTGTGTACATATATAAATACACACACACACACACACACAATCAAGGAATCCAGACTCTATCCCCCACACCTAGGCATGACAGACTGGACCAGAAGTCCTACAGCAGGGATGGCGAACCTTTTAGAGACCGAGTGCCCAAACTACAATCCCAAACTCACTTATTTATTGAAAAGTGCCAACACTGCAATTCAACCTGAATACTGAGGTTTGAGTTTAGAATAAAACAACTCAACCATTGACATCTTTTTTCTTAAAAGGAAAACAATACCCATGCCATAGGTTGGCCACCACTGGCCTAGAGTAACGGAGACTACGTGCTATCCAGCAGCTCAGTAATCTTGGGCAAAGTACTTAATTTCTCGATGACTCAGTTTCCCACTTTGTAAACTGGGGCAATTTTACACACTTCCCAAGGTTGTGGAAGTTGAATGGGCTGTGGTATAAGACGCTCCACCACACACCTGGCACACGCACTGAGGAGCTGTCTGCTGCTGTCCTCACGCAGCCCTGTTGCCTATTTTATGTACTCCCAATACTTCTCAATAGGGACAGTAACTTCTCTCACAACACATTCTGGAGCTCATCTCTCTGGAATTGGGCAGGGGTGAGCACGCTGATTTCAGGGAGGGAGAGTGGGGGCTGGGGTGAGGGAGAGGCTGCGCTGCTGGCTCCTCTAGCCACACATCTGAAGAATCCCATCTCTGGAGGAGGCCCAGGCCTTCCCTGGGGACTGGGATAAGGCCTCAGCAAAACTGAGGCCAGAGAGAGAGTGAAACAGCCCCAGCCTCCAGAGAAAGCCAATATGCTGGTAAGGGAGAGTCACTGCTTTGAAAACAAAATGCTGACCACCCAGCTTGCTGGCTCGGGAGCCTCTGTGCAGCTTCCCTGCCACCCACTCCGAGGCCCACCACCAGCCACTCAAGCCTTACTGTTCCGCCTGCATTCCAGAGCTCCTGTGGCTCAAGGGGTAAAGAACTGGAGGCTTCCAAGCTCCCAGGACCCACCATGACTGCTGGAGCTGGGGCCTCAGTGCCCCTTACTGCCCGGCCTGTGCTGATGTCATCATCACCAACCCTTTCTGTAATCTGCAGCCTCGCCCAGCCCATCAACCATCATGGCCAAGTATCTAGGCCCTTGCTAGTGGAGTTCCCACTGCCAAGAACGCCTCCCCAAGCCCCTGGGACACCTACTCATCCTTCCCCATCTCAGACCCATTGTGCTCACCTCTCTGAAGTCAGGTCCAGTCACCACTCCTCCTGCCCCCAAGGCCCAGTCCTTGGGCTCCCACCCACCCACCTTACAGTGCAGAGGCTGTGAACCAGGCCCTTTGGGCAGATGTGTGCACGTTGGCTTGTACAGCACTCTTCTCTAATCAGGTTAGTTAGCAATGCATTAAAATCAGGAGATTTCACATCAAAGTCAGAACTTCTAACTTCTCTTTAGAAGGGGTATGGTCTAGGGATACAGGGCTCAAATCCCTGCCAGACCCACAGCAGAGCTGCATGGCCACATGCTGTCCAGCCGATGGTCACCACCTCCCTCATGAGCTTCCTGCCCAGAGCCAAGCACACCTGAACCTCTGCCTCCACGTAGCTGCCTCCCAAGGCCTGAAAACCCTCAGGGCAGGACCGGGACTTACCAGCTCCACACTGCGGTCAAACAAACCCCACCCTGCACAGGTCCTCAGCAAACACAGGTTTGCTTTCTTCCTTTGCCCCAGCCTTGGGTGCGCCCTAAGGGCAGCGACCAAGTCTAAGTTATGGTGGGAGCTCTCACTTTCCCAAAAGCCAGGCTTTTACAGAGGACTTGAGATACCAGTGACTGAGTAGCTGCCAGTATTTCCAACTTACAGATGAGAAGAAGGCTCTGAGTAAAGAGCCACAGGAAACCAGTGTGTGCGTGTGTGTGTGTGTGTGTGTGTGTGTGTGTGTGTGTGTGTGTGTGTGTGTGTGTGTGAGAGAGAGAGAGAGAGACTGGGGATCAAACCCAGGGCCTTCACACTGAGCTACATACCCAATCCTTTTTATTTTTTATAATATGTATATATTTTTTGGTACTGGGGATCGAACTCGGGTCCTTGCACTTGCAAGGCAGGTGGTGGAACCACTGAGCTAAATCCCTGGCCCCTTTTTTGTTTTTTATTTTGAGACAGGGTCTCACTGTCATAAAAGTTACCCAGGCTGCGTTCAAATTTTTGATCCTCCTGCCTCAGCTTCCCAGAGTGTTGGGATTACAGGCATGAGCTCCCATGCTTGGCTTTTTAATTTTTTTTTTTTTTTTTTTGAGACAAGGTCTTACTACACAGTTCAGGCCAGCCTTGAACCTGTAATGTAGCCCAAGTTAGCTTCAAGTGTGAGATCCTCTTTCCTCAGCCTCCCAAGGACTAAGATTACAG